AATTCTGCCCTTGTGTCCATCAGGGCTGGAGGACGGTGCACCCGGGGACCGTCCTGAGCCGACTTTGCCCTCCACCTGCCCGCTTTGTCCTGAGTTTTACTCACTTCGGGTTGCTTTGACTTGCACCACAAGGGACCTTTCTCATTTGCCTCTGTCCCTCTAGCCCCTAGCCCTGCTGCTTTCTACCCCTGCATTCAGCTAATCCAAAACAGAGCCCCAGATGGGTGACAACGGAAGAGGAGCCTTAGCCATTGCCCCAAAACTGAAAAAAAATTTGTCGCCCTCTGCAGCCATTATAGGTCTGCTTTGTAATACGCTTCAACCTTTTAGAGATAAGACTAAGAAAATCCACTGAAAGGTTGGTGAGAAAAGGCCAAGTCTCCCAGAATAGAGCTGACTGCTAACTGCGTCCAGTGCCAGGTCTTCTGGCCAGAGCATCACTAGGACGCTTTGAATCCTTCTGGCAGCCCACCACCACCATCACCCCCACTCTCCGGCCTCCGCCTCAGGACACACCATATCCCTTTAGCGCTCTTGACCTGAGGCCTTAAAAAGCCATTGCCGAAGTGGAATGGATTTAAGCCCAAGAGAAACCGCCTCTAGTTTATTAAATGACCCAAGAGATGAAGTAGTAATCCGAGATGCTCGAAGAGGGGTCTGACATCGTGAGACCGCTGCCTCTCGCATCTCCCAGAATGCAATCTTCAATCTTCTCATCTTCTAGAACCCAGCATCAGGAGGCATTGGCATGAACCCTTCACCAGTGTATCTTCTCTTTGGGATTTAAAGGGGGAAGGGGGAAGAAATGAAACAAAAAGACTGCAAAAGTACAGATATCTATATATAGTATAGATATCTATATATCTATATCTATTCATACACATATATACTTATGTCATGGGCAAAACCGTAATTTATGTTGTTAGGTTTCCTTTTTCCTTAAAAAGGGAAAAAAGTTAACCTAACAGATGAATAAAAACTATATGCTAAACAGAAGATCAAAGACTACCGAAAAGGGCTAGAATAATTGGTTACCACTTTCTTGTCCCCCAGAGGATGGGGAGAAGCCATTGACTAATTTTTTTAAAATTATTTCCAATAGTGAATCAATCACCAGGTCACTTTGAATTTTTTGGTGTTCTATTCTGAACTAACAGTAATTTTCTGAATAAAATTTCTGCAGAGATGTGAAGATGGACAGGAGAGGCTGGCAGGAAGCACCCAAGATCAAATCCTTCATCCCACAGTTATCAAGTTCTCTACTATCGCTAGACACCAAAGAAATGGTCTCTCACCAGGAGTTTAATCCTAGACTTGCTACAGGCATCAGAAATTCTGGTGAGTTCCATTCTGATACTCTGGCCAGGTAGTCAGCCTCCCCCTGGAACCCTGAATGGGGGAATCTGCCCTGACACCAGGTTTGCTGTATGTGTGGTCAACAAGCAGCAAGTAAACATTTGATGGCTCAGGGGGGCTAGAAACATTTCTTTGGAATGGTACTGAAAACTGGGACAGGGCCAGATATTACATCTCTATTACTCACAAAAAAGAACTAACCCAAGGAACTCTGAAACTGATGGAAGCTTCTGAGAGCTTTGTGTGGCCAGCATTTAGAGAAATGACCTTATTCTCAGTCTCTTTTCTAAATATGGTGGAGTCTCCTGGCAAGCTCTAGTCCACTCAGTACAGGAAGGATTGTACCTGCCCAGCCACCACCACCCAACATTTACAAAATAAGTAGTCTAGGATCCTTGTTTTCTTAAAAATATTCACAAATGTTATTTTGTGATGGTAACTGACCCTATTTTTCTTTCTTTAATTTTCCTGCAGCTACTTAAAATCTAACCAGCTGACAATAATCCCTCCCCTCAAACTTCTTGGCTGTTATAAAAAAAAATTGAACAGCATCCTGTAATTACATAGACTGATCAACCAAGTAGTTTTAAGAGACTCCCTCCTTGGACTCTAATTCTTTCATTCCCCATAATGCACCTATTGGATACCAGGCATTGTGCTGGCACTGGAAGGGGGAAAGGAAGAGAGGAATAAAATGATGAAAAGCTATCCCAGCCCTCCAGCAATTGGCAGTCCATCTAGTGTAACGCACACACACACATTCATCTTTAGGCCCAAGAACATCCTTTCCACTCATCACACATCCTTAGTAATAGGAAAATTTTCCAAAAGGGTAAATAAGAATATAATGCTTCTTTAAAAACCACTGCAATTTCGTCAACCACAGGTAAACAATGGTAATGAAAGGCATGGAAAGCCAAGAAAGATTAGGGAGATTTGCAAACCAAAGCAAGTCCTGCAAACACCTTAGCTCAACAAAGATCTCTCCTTTGGCTTCTCCTTTAGGGACCAACCCTGTACCAGACCCCCTTTTCATGGGGGAGTCCGTGTTGAGCTCACCTGATCTCAGCCCTCTTCAGATAGGCTCCAGCCGCCCAGCCAGGAACCACACAGGAAGGAGGGTTTCCAGGATCAAGTCCGTAATAACTAACACAAAGAGAAAACCATGAACAATTTGTGCACTTGGTGGTATTTATTTCTTTCTCTTAACAAACTGCCTTTTGGGAAAAGAGTTGTCATAAGGGCAAATCAATCCTTTCAGAGGTGATTAAAATTGGGGGGGGGGACACAACAGTTTAACTCACAGGTAGCCTACTCCTGAAACCCATTGTTAGGTCTCATGTGAGAGCTACATGCTCTATGTTGTAAGAAAAGAGAACAGAAACAATACTGAACCAAGGTTGCAGCTTCCATGAATATATCGTCGTGATCCACTAGGCAGAAAATGTGTTCTATGCTTTTGTGTCTATGTGTATGCATAATTAGATGTAGCTACAAGTTTAAATAGAGTAGTTCTCTGTAGCCTTTATGTCAGTGCCCCCCCCCCCATTTTTCTTCTTTGGGGGCCTTAAATTCCTAAATGTTCACTGTTCAGGTAGACACTAAGTCCACTGGGAGAGGGACTCCCATTTCCTGGGCCTCTATGGGCATTATTTGGACAAGATAGGAATGCCTCCAGTGATGAAGCCAGCCAGATTAACCAATCTCAGGACCATATGTTACATCTCTGTTACATGTTACATCTCTATGGCCACTTTCAAGGAAGTCAGATTGGACTGTACCCACTGGCCTTGACCTACTGGATCATGATGTTGCCCTGGTTGTGCCAGGGAACTGGATAAAGAGATGAGCTTGCTCATGCCTTAGCTGGTTGAAAGTGTCCCCCAAGGACTGGCTGGCCCAAGTGTTTGCCTAGGGTACTTAGCCACCAACTACTCCCACCACCCCAACCGGGGCCTGTCCTAGAGTCTAAGAACATTTTCAGCAGGAACACTACTGGAGGGCTCCAATTGCCCCAGGAAAGGAACCTACAGCCCAAGTTTGGCCCAGCGAAGGCCACACACACTTTGTTCCACATCCAGGTCCCGATACGCAGGCTCTGAGAGGCTGTCCCCCCATTGTGACCACTGCTTGCCCGGGGCTGAGGCTCGGCGCTGACCGGGTCGTAACTGCCAAGGGCTGGACAATGGGCACATCTGTCCTTTCTCTGAGGGATGAAAGCACCTAAGCAGACACGGCTCTGCCTTTTGTTACGGTTTTTTTCTTTCCTTTCTTTTGTAAATGAAAGAAAGCCTCGGCATGTGGTAGCCGGGTGTGCGTCCCACTTTGGGGGCCTCCGCTTGCGTCCCCACCGAGCGCAAGGACCAGGTTCGATTCCAGATTGGAGCGTGATTGTGGGAAGCGGACAATTACTCCCAAAGCTGAATTGATTTTCAAATCTGGAGGCTTCTCGCGGGGACGCCGGGAAGAGGGCGTCCCTACGGGCCAAGCGGAGAGCAGCGCGCCTGGTCCACTCTGCCGGCGTCAGTCCTTCCCTCAAGCAGCGGCCTCTGGGTGCGTTACCAGGAGGGCCACAGAGAAGCCGCAGGAACAGCCCAAGCCTCGGGAGCCCCACCAGCGCCCAGAAGTTAGCGTGGGAACCCGCCAGGGCGCTCCCCACCCCCAACACACACACACACACACACACACACACACACACGACACACACGCCCAGGTACTCGCGGAGCGGCACGTCGCCTTAATTATCAGCTGCGATGAAGAAGGACCCAGGCGGCGGGGGACTACGAGGTATGGCCGGGGCCAGAACTCTTGGCACGAGCGTTCCCCTCTCCGGCTCACAGAAGAGGAGGGGTGGGCAAAGGGTCAACAGTCACCAAGCGGACCAAGACATTCAAGATATTTGCTTCTCCTCCCTCCAAAACAGCCAAGCACCTGAAGGTGAGAGCAGGGGCTCCCAGAAGCCCTTTGGGAAATAAAGCTTGGGTAGGTCAGGGTGGAAGGAGTAACGACACAAGCTGAGGCTCCCCGGGCAGCCTACGCCGAGTGGCAGCAACTGGAGAAAAGGGTGAGGACTTTCCAGCCTTGGCACACCCCCGGGATGGGAGCCCGGCGGGTGCTCAGAGCCGAGAGGCGCGCGAGTCTCCGGGGGTTGCGTTGGCAGCCCCGGGTCGCGCTCCACGCCAGGCCTCCGCACGTGCGCGCCGGCCCAGGGCCACCCGGCGCCGCTGTTAGGGCGCGGGGCCCCCCTTCATCATTTTGTACGGGGACGTCACGGGCCGCGCGCGCGGGGGCTGAGGGGGCGGGGCCGAGCCGCGCGCCTGCGCACTGAGCCCGGCGGGCGTGAGGGCGGGCCGCGGCGGCGGCGGCGGCGGCGGCAGCGGCGGCGGCGGCGGCGGCGGAACCGCGGCCACAGAGTCTGCAACAGTAACCGAGCCATGGCTGGAGCTGGCCAGCGGCGCGGGCAAGCAGCAGCCGCGGAGGACGCGCGGACTGCGTCAGGGGAGCCGGGAGCCTCAGCATTCTAAGAAGGAGAGGGGCGAGAGGGGGCCGGGGGCGGGCGGGCTGGGGGCGCCGCGCTCGCCCAACGGCACGGATCCTTTTTGGAAATTAATATTTAAAAAAAAGCCGAGGACGCAGAGGGGAAGGTGGGGGCAAGAGGGAAGGCGAGACATACAGAAAGGGAGACAGAGCCCCAGAGCGAGAGGAAGGAAGGCAGGCAGGCAACAGTCGCCAGCAGCCGATGTGAAGACCGGACTGCGTGCGCCCTTCGCCGCCTCTGCCCGGCCTCATCGATGTTGTGTCCGCCGCCCGCTCGCCCGGATCACGATGAACGCGCAGCTGACCATGGAGGCGATCGGCGAGCTGCACGGGGTGAGCCATGAGCCGGTGCCCGCTCCTGCCGACCTCCTGGGCGGCAGTCCCCACGCGCGAAGCTCCGTGGCGCACCGTGGCAGCCACCTGGCCCCCGCGCACCCGCGTTCCATGGGCATGGCGTCCTTGCTGGACGGCGGCGGCGGCGGCGGCGATTACCACCACCACCACCGGGCCCCCGAGCACAGCCTGGCTGGCCCCCTGCACCCCACCATGACCATGGCCTGCGAGACTCCCCCAGGTATGAGCATGCCCACCACCTACACCACCTTAACCCCTCTGCAGCCGCTGCCGCCCATCTCCACCGTCTCGGACAAGTTCCCTCACCATCACCACCACCACCACCACCATCACCATCCGCACCACCACCAGCGCCTGGCGGGCAATGTGAGCGGTAGCTTCACGCTCATGCGGGACGAGCGCGGGCTGGCCTCTATGAATAACCTCTATACCCCCTACCACAAGGACGTGGCCGGCATGGGCCAGAGCCTCTCGCCCCTCTCCAGCTCCGGTCTCAGCGGCATCCACAACTCCCAGCAAGGGCTCCCTCACTATGCCCACCCGGGCGCCGCCATGCCCACTGACAAGATGCTCACCCCGAACGGCTTTGAAGCCCACCACCCGGCCATGCTCGGCCGTCACGGGGAGCAGCACCTCACGCCCACCTCGGCCGGCATGGTGCCCATAAACGGCCTTCCTCCGCACCACCCCCACGCCCACCTGAACGCCCAGGGCCACGGGCAGCTCCTGGGCACGGCCCGGGAGCCCAACCCTTCGGTGACCGGAGCACAGGTCAGCAATGGAAGTAATTCAGGGCAGATGGAAGAGATCAATACCAAAGAGGTGGCGCAGCGTATCACCACCGAGCTCAAGCGCTACAGCATCCCACAGGCCATCTTCGCGCAGAGGGTGCTCTGCCGCTCCCAAGGGACCCTCTCGGACCTGCTGCGCAACCCCAAACCCTGGAGCAAACTCAAGTCCGGCCGGGAGACCTTCCGGAGGATGTGGAAGTGGCTGCAGGAGCCGGAGTTCCAGCGGATGTCTGCGCTCCGCTTAGCAGGTGAGCGGGCCAAGGAGCTGGGCGCGTGGGGAGATAAGGGATTGGGGAAGTGAAGAGACCGAAGTTAGGAGGGAAAAAGAGAGCTAGGCACGCATCATTCCGTTCTCCTTTCCCTCAGGGTAGGCGGGGGGAGTAGTTCCCCGGGCCTGGAAAAGCCAGCGCACGGCTCCCAGGAGCAGACCGCCTCCTCCAGGACTCAGTGCATCGGGCTGTGGTAGGCTCCGGGAGCTGAATGGTACCGCCTGGGCGTGTGCGGGGACGCATGTGTGCTCGGAGACGGTGCTGGAAGCGGTCACCACCGGAAGCGAAGAGAACCCCCCCCCGCCCCCCCCCGGCACCTGGCGGCACACGGTCTGTGTGTCGCGTCTCAGTTAGGCACTCCGGGTTTGGGAAGAGGGAGGCGATGCGTGTGTGCAATTGCGCGCAAATGCTGTCAGCTAGTTCCCCTGGCGCAGACCCCGGAGTTGGGTTGGAAAGTGACGGAGCAGCCCGCCCACGTTTGGCTGAACTTGGTGCGGTGACCCCCTCCCGCGCTCACTCTATTGGCGCGGGGCAGGGGTGGGAGGGATGGGGAGCACACTCTGAGGGTTCCAGTATAAGGCTCCGAAGCCGCGGGAAGATGTGTGTTTGGCAACGAAGCTGTTTAAGAGTTAGCACGCGTTCAGCCCTGGTAACCGGCTGTGGAAAGGAGAGGAAGGCAGACGGTTCCGAGGTAAGGGTGAGGGCAGCGGAGCAGCAAGGGAGCTTACAGCTGAGCCCACGGACCGCCTTTGCTGCCGACTCCTTTACCACTTCACATTTCGTTTTATTCCTCTGCACGATGTTTCGAATGAATCCCCATGCATGGGGATGGGAATGTGAACACGGCCCCCAAGTCTGTGAGCAGAGGTCTCGCGGCCCGAAACCCCGAGGTCCGGGCGTTTCCGAGTTGAGCGGGAAGGTCTCCGCGGCGCTAGCAGCCCGCCGGCGCCTCGCCTTCTCAGCCTCTCTAAGCCAGGGTGCAAGGGAGGCTCCGGGAAGCTAGCCGAGGGGACAGCTTAGCCCCGGCTGAATCACACCAGAGATTTCAAGCTGATTCGGCGACCCCCGAGGGCAGAGGACACACGGGGAGGTAGAGCCAAGGGCGGTGGAGGGCGGACACGGTTTGATGAGACCCCGCCGACTTGATTGACTCCTGGGTCCGTGCTACTCCCCCCGCCCCAGTCTCAGCCTGGTGCCCTGGCCCGAGTCCTGGTGAAGAGAAAGGTAAAAGCCGGAATGAGGGTTTGTTAATTAACTGATCGTTCTCCATTAATTCGTCCCTGGAGAATGAGAGACAGTCAATCCGCTCAGAGCCGGGGGCACTGAGCCGTTTCACAGTCTAAAATCAAAGCGAGAGGCGAGAGCCCCCTCCCCCACCTCTTGCGGGCCAATGAGGAGCTAGAGGGAGGCAGGTGCCGGCGTGCCAGCGAGCCAGAAGCCGGAGCCGGAGCGGAAGCCACCCCAAAGCGCTCCGTGGGTCAGGGCGCCGGTGGCCTCCCTCCCGCGCGCCGTCCTGGAGGAGCCTCTGCCCCGCCAAGTTTGCAGTCCTGGCCCCGTGCCTACTGATTCCAAGCAAAATCCCCACGCAGGCTGTTGCAGCTTATGCCTGGAAGTCAGTGAAGTGGTGATAGGACAGGAAGGATAAGGGAGAGGTTGACCGAGGTGCCCGCTGGGGCTCCCACGAATCCATTCCCGAGCCCTGTGTGCATCCACCCTATCGCTTCCCACCTCTGTGAGCTGACCGAGACTCAAGGGCAGCTCAGGTTCCAGAAGGGGTGGGAGAAACAGATGCCCTTCTCCCCGACTGCTCCGCAGCTGCCGGCGCCCAAGGTAGTCAGTGCTTTTCGCTGGCTCACGTCAGTCTAGGGCCCCGCTTCAGAACCTTGTACCCAGGCAGTGCTCACACAGACTTACCAGTCGGGTGGGGAGAAATGGAGGAAAGGGGTGGAAATGAAGAGGGATTTCCCACCCAGGGAAGTATGTTACCACCTCCCCACACCTAGTGAAGGCACTTGATGGAGACTTCAATGACTGCCATTCCCCACTGCCCCCTGTCATGCCCTGGAAAGTCAGACTGACAGGTTCTGTTCAGAGATGACCGGCAGCCCTGGAAACCCGGCCTAGGCGACCAGCGCGAGCCCTCTGACCTACACGAGTGGGCGCCTCAGTACCGTTTGAAGGGGTAGCACTAGTACTGCCACCCTCTTATGGGAGGCATGGGCTGCTTGCCGGCCAGGGCCGGCACTCGCGTACTCCCTGGACCCAGGAGGTCATCTAAGGGGTGACAGTCTGGCACCCAGCAGCCTAAGGCGGGTCATGCTCGGCCCGGGGCACGTGACTTTTCTTTGGGGGTAGAAAAAAGGAAAATCAGAGTCTCTAGCAGGGCAAGCTTTGGCGCCCAACCCCAAGTGGAATCCGCATCCTAAGACCCGGATGGAGCGTCGAATGTTTAATTTTCCTTTCTTTAACTTAATTGAAGGGGTGGGAAAGGCATGGGAGTTTTTGCAGAGTGAGCCTAACTGGGAGCAATCCATTACCCTGCAGGAACCACGACTTACTTTAAAATCACTGAAATCACTGAGCAGTCCTTTAACATTTTCCTTTGGGGATGGGGTAAGGAGGGAGTGAGGCTGTTTCCTGAACTCTCCGAATCCAATTGCAAACTTAATCGCATTTCAGGTTACTTTGGCCAAGGCTGTGGGACATTGCCTCGACCTCCCCTCCTTCAGCCTTCACCTACAGAGGTGCTCCTTGCAGTTCGGCTCGCTGTTGCACTAAGGACCCCTCAACCTTGTCCCTATCCCGTGGGGAGTTTCCTTCACTCCTTGGTGAAGAATGGCTTCTCCATGCTCTTTCTGGTTACACCAGGTGCCACGAAGCCTGTTGCAGAGTGTCAAAACCTCCACACTGGGCAGGATGCTTGGGGAGGTGCCTTCTCCTTACAAAATTATATCAGCTTGGTAGAAGACAGGAGGAAATTCTCACTAAATTAACTACCTTTAAAAAAATCAATACGTGTTCCCTCAGTGTAATACTTGCTGCTGCCCCATTAAAGTACAGTACAACTAGGCTCCCTGCCGCATCTCATCCGAGGTGGGGTGGATGGGCTGGACTGTATGGGTGGGTGGGCGCCTGGCCTCTGACGTGGGCATCTATTAAGACTTGAAGAGATTAGTTTTCAATTAAAGATTTCAGAAGGCTTTGGCCACAGTAGGGGAGCTGTCAGTCTTTGAAGAGGCTGCAACACACACCCACCACAGAGTACAGCACCGGTACCTCAGAACGCAGGAGGCAAGGCCCAGTGGGTTTGGGCAGGGGCAGGTGCTGGGCCTCTCTAACCCTAGGGTACCTGAAGGAAGGGTACCTCCAAACATCACTGGAGAGCCTATACCCGGGATTGTGCCCCCCTTCCTGTCCGGAATTTGCCCCAGAATGGCCTGAAGGAGAGCCTGAGCCTAGGAGAGGGTGGGAGTGGGGGAAGGGATGTCCAGCCAGGAGGTGACCATGAGAAAGTCTCACAGGGACCAACCTGGACTGTGTTTGCCATAAGTGGCCTTGTGGTCTGGTTGATTGATAACTGGCCTCCACGCAAGTCCATTTGCTTTTTGTTAATATTTATCCCAGCGGGTGACATTTCAACTGTCCCGTTCCCCACCCCCTTCCCTAGGCCAAGTGAGCCAAGAAGGAGTGCTGTGCTGGGCCTTGGGAACCTCACTTCCCCAAATCTCAAAGACTCCCCAGCCAGGAGAAAAACCGGAACTGGGCATTTGGGACTCCAGAACTGAGAGGTTTCCTGGGCCCAAAAGAAGGCACCAAGTAGACTGGTTCCCTCATGCCCCACTTCTCACACAGTGCAGCTGCTCCCAGCGGCTGCGGTTCTAACAAAGGGCCTGTGGGGCGCGGCCAACCACATCCGCTCGCTAGCAGCCCAGAAGCCAGGGGGACTGCCCAGGGTGGAGGGGAAGATGCACCTCCTCCAGAGGCTTGGTGTGGCCTCCTCCTGAATGTGCAGTGGTGGGGCAGCCAGTTATCAGGAAGAGTCCCAAAGAACCTTCATCCTCTCAGGGTGAATGGTGGCCATGTGTCCAGGGAGTTGGCTGGGCACCCCCACCCCAGCACACACACACACACACACACACACACACACACACACACCAGCACAGCAGGATACCAAAAATTTTCACCCCAGTCACCAAAAAACTCTGCATGGGCCCTTCTCTGAGCCCATGCCTGACACCTTGAGGGTTGGGGGTCAATAGTTCCTTCCTGCAGTCCCCACTAGGGAGCACAAACCCCAGTGAAGGGAGGAAGGAATGCCTAGTGTTAAGAAGTGTGCATATGGTGAAGTTTGGAGTTGACTGTTTGACGAGAGTAGGAAGACCTGCTTCTGACGCTTGAGGAGACCTGGTGGTTATTGTGTGGGGACTCTAGTGTCAGCACATGAAGGATGACTGCCTGAGACAAATAACCACATTCTGAAGACAGCTGGCTGTCCTGCCAGTGGGTGCAATCCCAAACCCCTTGGAAATGCCCAAAAGGTGATGAGAGTCAGTTAGAGTGACCCACTGGCCCCAGGGCTGTAGTGGTCACTAGAGACCCAGGCCCTGCCGTAGCTATGTTTCACCTGAGACTTGGAACAGACTGTGCCAACAAAGCAGTTATATTGTAGCAGCAAAGCAACTCAAAGCCCAGGCTGCATCTTTCTTCATCTTCAAGCTTTGATCATCAGTGCCCTGCAGGGAGCTGGAATCTTGTCCTCCCAGATGCCCTCCATTGGGCTCACCTTCCCCCAGTAGCCTGATGGGCTGTGTGCTGCAGTAGCTCCACACGCCCCCTGTGGGCTGCCACAAGCAAGCTCTTGGTTCAACATGCTATGGAGAGGAAAGGGATGCTTGCTATGGCTTTGTTTTTACATCGTTGTCCTAGTGATTAGCAAAAACAATTATTTTTTTGATAGAAAAGGGGTGGGAAGGAGGAAT